GTACCTGGTCTGAAATGCGGTTTTGTGCTGGTCCTCAGGTCTAACGGCAATTTGATGGTATCCGGACTTCAAATCTATCTTTGTGAAGTACCGACATCCCTGCACTCTATCCAAGAGGTCGTCAATGCGGGGTAGGGGCTGCGCGTTCTTAACGGTGATGGCATTGAGGCCCCTATAGTCAATGCACATCCTTAATGGACCTCCCTTCTTAGGAACAAATAAGACTGGCGCACCGTAAGGGGAGGTACTAGGCCGTATCGATCCCTTCTCTGTGAGCTCCTTGAGCTGGCGGCGAAGCTCATCTAACTCCGCAGGAGACATCCTATAGATTCATCCTCTAGGCACCCTACTACCTGGGACAACCTCTATTGCATGGACAACCTCCCTTTCTACCACGCCTGTGGGCTCCTCAAAAAGGTTTGAATATTGAGCGACGACTTGTTCTATCTCTGGGGGTGATTTAACAGCCTCCCCTTTTTCATAGACAAACACTAGGTACATGCCCTCCTCGCGATTCTGCTTGTAGTAATAGAAAGACGAAGCGCACATGCAGCCGTAGTTCTCCACTAGACTGCTAGCTTTGTACTTCTGCAGCCTAACGGTCCTACCATTTGGCAACTTGTGTATTAACACCTTTCTATCCCAATCAAACTGTGGTTGCGAGTCTTCGAGGTAGTACATGCCCAGCAGCATGTCGAATGGCAGTTCGTCGCTAACCAAGAAGGAGATCTTGTGGATCACTTCCCCTCCTCCATAGGAGAAGGAACAGGCTACGTCCTTGACATAGTCTTTTACTACCATTTGGTGCTTGTTGGCTAGCGTAGAAGCTACAGTCTTGCTAAGCCGCTGCACTTGGTCCCCTAAGTGCAGTCTATCCACACAAGCACAACTGATGAAGTTTCGTGTAGAGCCTATGTCTGCGAAGGCGCCAACCTTGCGGCCACCTACATCTACTTCTACCACGAAATGTTCACCCTTTGGACCTTTACTGATCATCGCCCAAGAGTCTCTGGGGTCCTTCCTTGACCACTCAGTCTCTAACTGTTCTAGGGCCTCAGACACATCTCTCGAACAGAGCGTCGGTGGGTTTGAATGTGTCTGCGGGGCGATAGGTGGGTCACTAGCCTTGGCCAACGCCTGAAGTGGGGAAGGCAACGTTACCACTTCAGCGCGAGTAAGAGCGGCTAACACTCCTACTGACCTGAGGTGTTTCCCTGTGAGCTGCTCGCAGAAGCACTCCCAGGGTTTGAAGATAGACCCACCACCGTTGGTGAGGCTACCTTCGTGGTGACCTTCTTGCCGCAGCAAGTCCTGGACGTGTGACCATAATGGCCACAGTTCATGCATGTACCCCTAGCAACGGGGTCACGCCACACCTCATACTCTAAACCAATCTTCACCCATGCGGGTGTCCCTTGGTCGCCCTGACCCGTGGACCGTACTACCTTCTTCTTTCCGGTCCCCCTAGCCTTTTCCTTGATGGGTGCTACGACTCCACCATCTGAAGTCTCACTACCCCCATCGTGCTCTGTGAACTCCCCAAGATCCGAGTAGTCGTCAATCTCCGTCGTTTGACCATCGTGGTCAACGAACATTAACTGACCCTTTTTCTTCCAATCTTGGGGCAGTCTCTTCCTACCATCGTTGGGGNCCCTTTTTCTTCCAATCTTGGGGCAGTCTCTTCCTACCATCGTTGGGGGCCTGATGCGCAGATCCTAGCTTTGCCTCGATGTCCAGAGCTTTCTTACTAAATGAAGCGAAGGTGTGCTGTTCAACGTAAGCTTCATCAACCAGCTTGGTCCTTACCTCTGACGGTAGGCACCTTAGGTAATCCGTTAGGAGAACCTGCTGGTCAAAACGCACACCAGGTACCACGATTAATCGTTCTACGACGTCCGTCAGCTCTCTAACATTCTTGAACCTTCGGGAACTAAGACTGTTGATAGCGTCAGTGGCCTTCTGGGCCCCTTGTGGGTCATGCCACCTGTTGTATACGGACCGTATGAACTCTTCCAATGTCTGAGATTGTGACCAGGCATCGAAGTTTTGACCGTAGCCCTGTTGCTGCACTAAGCCATTTAACCAGCGGGCTGCTGACCCCTCTAAAAAGGAGGCAGCCACTACAACTTCTTGCTCTGGCCTTGTGAGCTTATGCCTCACATAAGTAGGCACAGTTCTCACCCAAGTGTCCAAGTCTTCCTCCTTCTTCTTATCGCCAGAGAAGGGCTTGGGACTCATCAAAGCTATCTTGGGCATCCACTGCATAGGCTGCATGGGCCCAGGTGCTTGCTGCAGCGGCTGCATAGCCACTGAAACAGGCTGTTGCATACTAACCTGAGCCTGGCTGGACAGTGGGACTGTAGTGACCACTGTTGTAGATGGTACAGCTGAGACTCAATGAACCGGACCACAAGTTGCTACTAAACCACGCGGGGAGGGTATGCCAAACACGGGAGAGAAAGTTTGCCCGGTGCGTTGCGGCATCGATGATGGACCCGCAGCTGCAGGGGGAACTACAACAAACTGTGGCGGCCTCACCATTGGGCGAGTGCCCCAAAGTTCAGCAAGAATTTGTTTCTGGCCTGCTACCAAATCAGCCAACAATTCCTGCTGAACGTTTGTGCTTCCGCCACTGAAAGTAATGCGCCTCGCAGTACACGGACAACAGGGTCTAATGTTGACTCATCTAGTCTTTCCAGTCTGCCTAGCTCCTGAGCTCTACTCTCTAGTCTAGCCTTTCTTTGCATAGCTTTCCTTCTCCTCTCTACTACTTCGTCCATCTGCCGCTGTAGCTCATCCTGAAGTTTTTCTGCTTGCCGGATTTCCAAGTCCTCCGGCGTGATAGGAGATTGGATGACTCGCACATGACCAATCTGACTAGTGGCTGCCTGAGTGCTACTCTGACTGACTCCCGACGACGTGGCTTGTGTAAAGACTTGCGACATGGCTGAGGTAGCCATGGTTGCACCGGTGCTAGCTGAAATACTAGCCCTAGCACTGTCCTCAGTTGCCCTCGCCCTCCTTGCCGTTGTTCTCTCTCTAGCCTCTCGCCTCAATCTTCTCTCTTCTCCTGAAGCTAACTCCAAGAATGTCAAGGGTCGACTGCGGGCAGTCCTGCGAGTAGTCCTACGGTCGTCCACTAGTAACTCCTCCTCACTTGTGCTTGCATCACTCATGAGCTACAGTGTGTGTGATCTAAACTAGAATCCACACTGAATCCTACCTTAGCTTGACACACATCCGTATATGATACACAACTAACCACGGTCGGCATGAACAGAAATAGTTAAGTGATGTTGCAACAACTAATGTGAGGTCCTACAGGATATATCAAATCTATTTTTAGATTACCCTAGAACAAATTGCAATACAGCAAAGATCTAGTCTATTTGTAGTTGTTTGTCAGTTGTCAGCAAGTCCGTAACAACTAGATAATCAAAAACAAAAATAACATCTCCTGTTGGAGATGTACACTGGATGGCAGATAGTCTGTTGAGTGCCACTGTGAACAGTTACCGGAATCCCCCCTCCCTCTGTATCCTTCTTGATTAGTCACTTTGTGTCAACGTCCCTAAGCATCTGGTTGAGCAGCGTGTCTAAAGGTGTGCAATCCGGTCCCACCCCTGTGCCTCAAGTCATCGTCGAGCAAGGCAGCCACAACACTCTTATTTACCCTCGTACGCCGACGAGCCTTACACGCGGTTGATCTGGCTGATCAGGAGGAATTTAAATAGCGCCCCCATCTCTTCAGGAATTATTTAACGTCGCAGTCAGGACGACGATCACAGCCAGATTCAGATCCGAGTCCCCAACCACAAATGTTTATAGACGGTCTGGTGAGCGTCTCATAGAGGCTGCCATGCCCGAGTTGACCCCTATTTGCGCAAGCAGCAGATCCAAGGACTTGCGCCCAAGCATGCGTGTACTAGTCCCAGCGGGTTGGCATGGTGACCGTG